GGCAAGCATACATACATGCAACAATAATACATAAGGGTTTCAATTGCAATACAATCACTAGAAATAAGAGAATAGTATGCACAAAATCATAACATAGACATGTTAAATAGACAATAAAATAAAACATTCAATAGCTCATCAAAGGTCAACATTTAAACACTGGTCTCCATCTGATATTCTATCTGTGTTCCAATGTCCACCCCTGGTTTCTGCTATATCTGAAAAAGGTAAGAAAACAGATCAGGATTACTTTTCCTTGTCACTTATAGCGTATACTGCCAAATCCTTTACTTAGCATATATACATATATACACATATAAATACATTCCCTAAACTTTTCATTTTATAAACAATTTGTTCAACAAGGTAACTTTCTTAATTTTCTACTTGGCTCTTAAAATAAACAATCAGCTAATAGCTGCTTTCTGCATCTTCTCTGCAATTCAGGAAACACATTTCTAGCCAACCTAAACATGTTTAATAACTCTCCACCCTTTGGTTAAATTATAGAGGAGTGAACCACAACACCTCTTCCGCCTCTGAAAGGATATAGGTCAATATGTCTCAAAGTTCAACACTTCTGACAGCTATGAGTGACTCCCTATTAATTTCTAGCCTTTCCACGGACATGCTTGCACCTCGCGGCTAAGGGCCTGCACAACTAACCACCCTGTGATGGCAGTGGCTTTCCGCATGGGGGTGACCGCCCCCGCAAAATTATAGAGGAGCAAACATACAGCAGCCTCTTTTCCGGCTCGATTAAAGGTTCTGGGCCAATATGTCTGCAATTTAACCAGTACACTCACGTATCACTTATTGTATATTTCCTGGTCTCTCAGGAATTTCTATTAAATAGCGTATCCCCTTCCCAGGGCAATATACAACAAAAACTAGTCACCAAGGGTCTCTATGGTCATGATAGGCCGCCCTACCACTAGTGTAATACGCCCTTTTTTAAATATATTTCCTGGTCTCTCAGAGATTTTGCCTATCCCTTTCCCAGAGCAATATATATAAACAATTACAAATAAGTTACAAAACGCTACTTATAAGTAATACAGGGTTTCAAATAATAATACAGGATAGAACTGCACAACAACTATTGGGTATGCTCCCCCTTATCCGGACACGTTTAAATACCCCCTAGCTCAGGTTCCCCACCCGCTACTGTAACTAAAATCACAGCCCACGTTATGGAGGTTCACCCGCTAGGCAGATACACCCTAATTCAAAGCATGGAAATATTAAAATCAGTTATAGATGGCTTCTAAAATAATATAAATCTTAATCTGAGCCCCTACACTTACTTTGTTAAAAATGCTAACTTGTTAAAATATTCAGACTAAATAGGACAAAGGAATTATTTTACCATTTTTTCAGTTCATTTGTTACCAGTTCCTGCATATGTCCAGTAATTCCTTAGTCCTGGATAATAAAGCTGAAAAACACTCCACAAATTGATTAGCTTAGGCAATTACATTTACAAAACAATGCAGTTTATTTTTTCTCATACAGGCAAGACTATCCACCCCCAACAAGGACAAATTCTCCCCCAGCTGTAGCTGAAAAGCATGGTCACACAGCTGTTAAAAAGGTGGTCTCTCCTTCATGAGTCAAAATCATATATATTTATACTAATATTCTGTGTATACGCACACATAAATCTATTATTCACTGAATCTGCTTTACTAAACGTATCTTTTTCTTAACTACTAATTTAATACATTTTGTCCAAATCTCTTTTCAACTAGACAAATCCATGAATGCCAAACAAATGTAAATTAGTACACAAACAGGGTCAAATTTAGCAATAAAACCTGGTGAACTAGTTTAGTGAAAAGTCTTTTCCTATGCAAATGGTAGCAAACAATGAAACTAGGCCTCAACTCATTCACACCATGTGGTCAATGGTGGATTAAAATCCACATGGTCAGACAAAAAGTAAAATTGTTTTTTGTTTTATATATAAAAATGACCAAAGGTTGGTAAAATGTAACAAGCAACACAATAATTCATCACTATGTTCTACAACAAGAGATACCTTAAAAAACAAATATCTAATCCCTATCTGCTATCTGCATTCATTCCATTAAAACCAAATCATCATTCATTTATTCATTTGTATACAGACAGACAATTTACAGTATGATTTAAGCAAAATGCATAACATTTATATTTTCCCCAATATTCAAGCATAATCCTGCCGACTACGCCAAATGTTGTGGTCGTGACCTAAATATGAATATTAATCTCTTAATACATAATAATTAAGCAATACGGAACAACATTAATATTTTTATAATTCATGGTATTATGGTCGAATATGTGGATAGAAAATACACAAAACGTTGTAATATTAAATGTATATTTAATATAACTATAACAAATAAACAGATGCTAGCAGAATGTCAATTTACTACAATTATGATACAATACAAAATGTATATTTAATATAACTATAACAAATAAACAGATGCTAGCAGAATGTCAATTTACTACAATTATGATACAATACAAAACTACAAATACTTACAAAAGGTTGCTACATGTTACACAACATTTTACTTACAAGGCCCCAGCCCTTTGGCTGGGGTTAAGTCAGAGCTGCTACTACATCTTTCAGGTACAGGCAAAGAGGCAAAAAAAGAGTTTTCTCCTCCATCTGGTTTTATTCAGTGTAAGTAGGCTGGCCTGTGATGTCACTGCCAGAAGCACATGTCTTCCTACACACTCCCCCTAGTGGTGCCCCCAAAGCATTACACTAAATATGCTTTCTTTATGATGTAAAGTCATTAATTAATAAATACCATTACAGTACCATAACCTCTGCAAGCAGAGCAACGTACACAATGAGGCTAGCTAGAATATCAAAGTGACGTAACCGGGAAACCCCAGGAGGCAAGTCCCCTCCACAGATCCCCCAACCCTTCTTTTTCCTTACTACTGTTAGCTAGACAGTACCTAAAAGAAGTAAACAGGAAAACAGGACCCCTTTTGAAAATCCCCACAGGTCCACCCCCCCTTTTTTTCCCAACAGTCTGGGCCAAGTGACTCCTAAAAAGGGGTAAAAACAGGCAACAGAAGACCCCCAGGCAACCACCCACGGGTCCACCCCCCTTTATCCCAAAAGAGGGAAAGAACAAAACATATACCACTAGCACACCCAGGCAACAGATAGACTAAATGCAGGTAAACAAATGGGTAACAAGACACCGGGCAAGATATTACCTGTCTTTGATGCCCTCCCGGGAAGCAGTCACAGACACGTGGACGGGTCAATCAAAGGGGCTGGAACATACCGGTGGCTCCTGCAGAAGTCTCTACCGTGTGCTCAGAGGTGATCAGTCTCTCTTCCTTCCCCCCCGATTCCTCCGTCCAACAGCGTCTTCCTTAGGACGGCTTACCGGCCGGAGGCCATAGCCCGATGCCCCACGTTGGATGGACGCCAAATTGATGTAGATTAATTTAGAAATAAACAAAAATGTTTAAAAGTCTATCTGTTCCTGTCCAAATCTGAGATGAATAAATTGCGTATACGCAGAAGTAAGTTCACACTGACACATGCAGTTCAGGTTAAAAACACTTCAGGAAATTTATTAGCATCTAGTTAAAAAGCGGGCACGCAGGCCTTTTTATATGCAAAATGACATCATCATTGAATATCAGATAATAACAAATAAACATCATTAATTGGGTTAAATGTTAAGTGGCTATGTCAGTGTCCACCCATTAATATTATTAATTGGCTCAGAGATTTGAGTGACTAGTGAGGCACCCTCCCATCATGGGATGTCGTCGCCATTGCTCTTTAGCACGAGGCTTACTCGGTGGAAAGGGGGGCTTGGGCATCATTTTACGTAGTTAGTGATGTCAGTCTCGTGGTCTGGTCCAAGGTTCTTTTATGAATAGAACATTTCATTTAGTCGCTGTTCTCCTGGCCTTGGATTATACTATGTTGCAAGTCAACGGAGATCCGCTAACTCCGGGGCTAGTTATGTCCTTAGAGAGAGAAAATACAATCTCTTATTCATTATACTGAATACTGTCAGGAAATTCTGTCATGTAAGGTGAACAAAATGGAGAATTCTGTCATAGTGTGAGATTAAAATGGAGTTAGTACAATAATTCAATACAGGTTCTAATAAAGATTTTAATAATTCTACATCACTAACTACCTGCCTTTAATAGTGACAGATTATAGTAACTAAACTCAAGAGGCAGCAATTAATCAGAGCACCTGTCTAGCAAAGACTTTTCATTGAGCTGTTTTGGGAAGTCTATGATTGGACAGCCCAGAAAGTCTGGGCAGGCTTAGAAGGGGAGGGCTTCCATAGGCAGTGGACAGAGAACTGTAGGTTTTGCAAACTGTTTTTAGATATATCCCCAATGAAAAAATGCATGATAAAATATATGCAATTTTTAATTTGGGGTATATATAACAGTGATTTTTAATGAATTTTGTATTCGGGCTGAGGATGTCCTTTTAAGGTATCTGATGAGGTCACAGCATTGTGGTGATGTCATTGACAGTTTAGGCTATATATATCTGCTGCACAGGACCTACCTTAACAGTTATTACTGTATAACCATGGCAGAAGAATTTGCAAGAGAGAAAAAGCAGATGTTTCCAGCTCTTTCGAGAGAAACAACACATGGCAAGGTGAATGGGGGTTATGTACTCACTAAATCCATGCACCCCCTGCCCATTTGACCTTCAAACCCAGTTCCTTTCCTTCTTATGCCCAATGTATGGCGATAAGATCCATATGGACCCCCCATATAAGTATAATAATTTTGGTGACTAATTTGATGCCTCATCATCAGAAAACATAAAATGGAATGTGAATAGTCATAGAAGAGATTACTTTACCGATATATGCATGCATAAAATCGTTATAAATGATTCTCTGTTTTAGGCATCTTCCATTAGAGCCAAGCCAACAAAAAGAAATACGTCTTCGGGGATCAAACTCCCACCATGTCTTAATAATCGGATTCCGATGCTAACCGCAAATCCCTCGGAAAAGGTATACGCTACAATTTAAATCCATAGTCTGATTCATATTAGGAAGGGAACATTTTACAGACACAGGCTGTAAACCTGAGATTTTTTTTTACATTGTCATTTTCTTGATATTTATATATATATTTTGTTTATTGTGGATGTCATTCTCCAACAAAGTATAAATTATAAAAAAAAACATCACATTAATATGTACATATTACATATGTTCTATAATCTACATTAACTGAATTTCTATTTGTTTAGGTGGATTTCATTAGAGCACCCCCAGCAGAACAATTTGTGGATGTTCCTTCTGGAGTGAAATTTCCAGTATGTCCTAAACAACCTGTCCAGTTCTGTACCACCAAGCTCTCGGAAAAGGTATTTAATACTAATCCAGACTAGTAAACAGATATTTTCAAGACAATTGAAATAGGGCTACGGATTGATATGAAGGGTTGTATATTTAATGCCAAGCCATGGAATGATTAATTAAAGTAAGCATTAAAAGATTTTATAAATTAGTATCACATCAATCATTAGTTCTATTGTAGATTATTAACTCTTCTACCATATAACAAAATAGCTGAAGTGGATAAGCATTAGTCTACTATGTTTAACCTACTATGTTTAACCTTTCCAACAACCCCCAATTATTTCATATATTGGTTGTTTTATGCTAATGAGTGTTCTTCAAAATAGGTTTACAGAATGAGTGCACAAATGTTTTATGTTATAATGTTTTTGCAGCTTTATAAGCCAAGTCCATCATTTGACCTTGAGGATCCATATTGTCGATTGATGAGGACAACCTACAATAACCTGCATGACCCATACTTAAAAGAATATTACCAGAGTAAAGTACCCCGACAACGGATTCGTCAGCAGGGATTTATCACCAGTGATGATAAGGTAGGATAAAAAAACAAAAACAAGCAACATGCCACTACCATTTAATTTTACACTAACATATTGCATACATAAATTTAACTGAATGACATTGAATTAAAAGAAAATGTCTTGTTTAGGTTGTTTGCTCTTTAAAAGAGTACAACGAGTACAGGGAGTACCTCTCAAGCATACATAGGAAGAAAATGAAAAACGTAAGTTGGATTCAGATTTATAGTAAAAACAGTCAACATAGTAGACAAAGTGTAATTTTCAGTGGGATGATATTTAGCTACTCAAATTAAAAACAATTTTAAAAAGATGAAATAATAATAATAATCTGTTTGTTTTTTAGAAGTTAGAGAAACAAGGTAGACAAAATTCGTCTTCCAACCAATGATGCTCCCAAGATTGTTAGAAAACGTACTTCTTAATAAAAGTTCATTACTAGTTGACAATTTTGCCACATGTGATTTCCTGCAAAACAGTTCAAACATATGAAAATATGTCATCATACGAACATGTGGGTTAAAATATGAAATTTTATTTAAAGAAAAACTCTAGCACTATCACAATTTTGTCTAATTGAATTGGTTGTAGCGTCTGCAATCCACGGCACCTGCTCCATGGTTAATGTTAAATCACGAATAGTTTAACACCTAATGAGGGGCCTACTGCACATCCCTTGCTTGGAGTAGTTACACTCCACATTAGCTATACCAGTGTATAGCAGCAATAGATGTCTGTGATACTCTGAGAGCCAGCAGGTGGCGTTCCAATCACTGCCAACTATTGCTGCTTGAACTAATGTTTAAGTATGAGTCTAAACAGTAGAGGGGGGCTGGACAGCGGGCGTCCAGGGACCTTCATTCAGTGTTTAACAAATTGAAAATGATTCAGCTCCCAGGTACTCCAGTGTTACTGTAACAAACAATATAAAAAATCATACAGATTGGCCTTTAATCAGATACAGTCCGAGGTGTTTGCTGGTACCATTATACACAAGGCAAATAAGCACAAACTTCATATTTTAACTCGTAAAATCGGGCATTCATGTCATCAGGGATTCTTCAATTGTGGATTAATAAAAATGATTTGAAAATTATATTTGCTTTGTTTCTTGGTATTTGCGTGTTGTTTCATGTGTATTCCTGCAAAGCAATTCAAAGAAAAATACAGATGTTAATTTTGATTGCGCTAACTGATTGGGAGTAATGTCTAAACACTGTACTATGAACTCTATCAATCACTAAACAGTAAAGACAAAAAGGAAATTGGGTGCACACCCAGAACATGCATTTCACAGGAATGGTGCTTCCATAGAGAGCAAAATATATACATCATACAGAAGGAACAGGGCACACATACAAATCTATTTTTTATTTTATAAGACTACTTGAAATCACGTATCTCAGCAAACAAATATGGGGATCCATGCCCACCATATGGCCATATCATATTGTGTTAAGCCCAGCACTACTTCACAGTATCCCAGTATCGGTGGGTCCTTCACTAATTCCGGTGTAGGAGACAAATCAAAGAGTGCTAGTGCTAAGTACGTTGCAGTGTATTTTAATAATCTGTTGTAAAAGTTCTTACAATAAAAATGAAGAACAGAAATTGGTAATTGTAAAACTCATAAGTGGGGGTGACCCCTGAGGAATAATAGATACAAAAGTTCTTACAACAGATTATTAAAATACACTTTTGCTTATTTAGCACTCTCACTATTTAATTTTTCTCCCATGGTAGAATTAGTGTAGGACCCAGTGATATCTAATATATCTAATCATCAACTTATCAAAAAGCATCCTATTTATCTAAATGTGTGTCCGCTTTTGGGCTATCCCATGAATATCTTTCTAAGATCTCATAATAAGTGCTAACCTAAAAGAAATGTACCTCAAATGTGCATGTAATAAAAACCAAAAACAAACAGCAACTAGAAAAGCTACAATTTCTGGGGAAATTGTGTGAAGTGTTCTTGCCTTTACCAGTAGTCTACAACTGGAGTGGGCGTTTTAACTGGGTGGAGTGGCTGGAGTAACTGTTGTGTGGTTGGAGTGGCTGGAGTAACTGTGGAAAGGTTGGAGTGTGGTTCACTCACTCTACAGCAAGTGAGAAGCTTTGAAATCTTTCAAATCCCTCCAACATTCCACCAACTGCCAACAGGAACTAATAGATCTCAAATAGGGCAGAGAAGAGCGGTTAAAAACAAACTGCTCCAAATTGCTCACTTCACTGGCGGTTGCCATCTTCAAACGGTCGTATTTTAAAAACTATAGATCCTACAGTGAAGAGCTTTATATTGTGAGAATCACAAGACCCAGACCTACATTTTGATGCATAGTATGTCTCTGAAGTATTAAAAATGAAGGCACAGTCGCAGTTTAGAAATTGCACTTCAAATTTGAGCTTTGCAGAGTGAAGTTTCAATGAATGTCAATGGACGGCGTTAGTTGCAAACAAATGATTATATTGTGAAAACTATCAGGACTATGGCTTAGCCGTTGACATGTTTAGTGGCAGCAGGGATAGCTGAACGTTTTGATATAAGATTTGTGTAGGTGGGCCTGAAAATAAGGGAGTGGTGGCAGTTTAGAAATCATGTCCTGATTTTTCAGCTTTTGCCAGCTCCCACTCTAGCTTTGCCATTCATTCCTATGGGACAAATTTCGCCACAAGAACGACGATATTCCGTGAACCATTCGGCGAAACGTTCCACAAAGTAATAGCAATCCGATCGGGAACAATCTGCACGTTTTGGTAAATTTTTGTCTATGTAGTGTAAAAACTGTGGGAGGAGATAGGGTGGCAAATTTGGCTATAATAAGAATAATAATATATATATGAGATAACAATAAGTGGTCTTGCTATGCAAGAACACTTAATAAGAATAATAATAATAATATATATGTGAGATAACATTAAGTGGTTTTGCTGTGCAAGAACACTTAATAATATATATGTGAGATAACAATAAGTGGTCTTGCTGTGCAAGAACACTTAATAATATATATGTGAGATAACAATAAGTGGTCTTGCTATGCAAGAACACTTAATAATATATATGTGAGATAACATTAAGTGGTCTTGCTATGCAAGAACACTTAATAAAGGATGTTTGTGTAGTGGATGCTGTGTGTATAGTTAATGCAGAGTGTATGTTAGTGTAGGGAAAGCAGAGTGTGTGTCAGTGTAGTTAATGCAGAGTGTGTGTTAGTGTAGTGAATGCAGAGTGTGTGTCAGTGTAGTGAATGCATAGTAATTGTCAGCGTAGTAAATGCAGAGTGTGTGCATAGTGTAGTGAATGCAGAGAGTGTGTTAGTGTGTAATGAATGCAGTGTGTGTTAGTGTAGTGAATGCAGAGTGTGTGTTGCCCAATAACTCCAGCGCGTTACCAGCTACAAGCATGCCAGAGGCCCCTGGCACACTCATACCTAAAGGGGTGAAACCACTTGAAATAAGAATGGGTCTAGGGGCCTCCTGGCACCATTTTGATTAAGTTTTTATGGTGCCTTGAGTGTTCCTTTAATAGCAACCATATGTACAGTGTAATGCCATACACTTTAACTGGCCAATCATAGTGTAAAGTACGCTCACGGAGATCCCTTACAGGCACATTATGGTTAGAAACAGCTTACAAACCATATGTTTTGTGTGTTTTCCAATAAGCAACACATCTACAAGTGGTTGGTATCACTGCAAGCAGACATTACTAATGGACAGCCAGAAAAAAATTGCAACAAGTTTTTAATAAGGTTATTAATTAGTAGCTGCTACTAACTGATGTAGATTAATTTAGAAATAAACAAAAATGTTTAAAAGTCTATCTGTTCCTGTCCAAATCTGAGATGAATAAATTGCGTATACGCAGAAGTAAGTTCACACTGACACATGCAGTTCAGGTTAAAAACACTTCAGGAAATTTATTAGCATCTAGTTAAAAAGCGGGCACGCAGGCCTTTTTATATGCAAAATGACATCATCATTGAATATCAGATAATAACAAATAAACATCATTAATTGGGTTAAATGTTAAGTGGCTATGTCAGTGTCCACCCATTAATATTATTAATTGGCTCAGAGATTTGAGTGACTAGTGAGGCACCCTCCCATCATGGGATGTCGTCGCCATTGCTCTTTAGCACGAGGCTTACTCGGTGGAAAGGGGGGCTTGGGCATCATTTTACGTAGTTAGTGATGTCAGTCTCGTGGTCTGGTCCAAGGTTCTTTTATGAATAGAACATTTCATTTAGTCGCTGTTCTCCTGGCCTTGGATTATACTATGTTGCAAGTCAACGGAGATCCGCTAACTCCGGGGCTAGTTATGTCCTTAGAGAGAGAAAATACAATCTCTTATTCATTATACTGAATACTGTCAGGAAATTCTGTCATGTAAGGTGAACAAAATGGAGAATTCTGTCATAGTGTGAGATTAAAATGGAGTTAGTACAATAATTCAATACAGGTTCTAATAAAGATTTTAATAATTCTACATCAGTCCCCCCTATGAAATGTTAGATTCTAAAAGATAAACTTTATTTGTTAGTATCAGAAGACGTGTTAGCCCAAAGGCACAGAAACCCTGTGAAGTAACGGTTCTTAAAGTCTTCTTAGTTCTTCAGAGGGACATCATAAAATAGACAAGCTTACATTACCATGTGGACCTGTGTTATCTGGAGTATAGGCACAACAAGTCATGTTGACAGGTAAACGTTGTTGGTTGCAATAGATATAATAAATGCAAATCAAAATATTATTATTAGCAGTGACGGTTTGGAAAATGGACTCAAACTTTCTTTTAACTGCAAAATCATCTGGTACCCCCCTTGGCACACCTATGGCATCAATATATATATATATATATATCAAACTTCCCTTTAGAGGGGTGCTCCTCTTTGTGTTCTGAAGCATGAATGTGGTGTGTCAAGAGTACCTTGTCATGTTTTATGTGTATAGACATAATAACCTTGGCTAGGGCACATTCGCTTATTCACCATAGTATTAAACCTGTCCTACGC